TGCTATGAGTCGGAACTGACTCAACAGTACTTAACAACAACATGTCTGGCAGTAATAAAACCTGAGGTTTGAGACAAGAGTAACACACTGGCTATGATAATTAAGGTTATGTGTCACCTTGGCTGGGCTGATTCTTAGTGGCGTGGCGGTTACTTAATAATTACATTTGGTAGTTATATAATAATGTAGTCATCAACCATTTTGTGATCTGTAATCTTTCAGACTCTAATCATGCAGACTTTTGCATAATTATCTGGGCTTTTTAACTTAACTATGTTGGTAAATGAGGAGTGAGTGTATTCTAGTCCACCTTTTAATTAATAAGCCATTTACTTGATTTATGCCTGCCTCAGTCAACTATATCCTCCAACACTAGCTACTTAGCAACTTGTAACCTTAAGCTGATTAAAATAAAAGCTGCATGTTTTACAGTTTGTGGGAGACAAAAGCCCAACTAAAGAAAGCATAGTTAGACCTGTGTTGCCCTATCCTTGTTTTCAGAAACTGGTGCTGATCTTAATTATAAATCTCTGGAAAATACTATCAGACACAATTGATTAACATTTAAAAGGTATCAGAAGGAGGGCAAAAGGAAAGTGTCTATAGCTACAGAGCCATTAGACTGTGGATTTAAAGACAAATAACTCTGTGGGTTACTATACTATTACTTTACTGTTATCTTTGCCTCTGTGTATGCTTATTCTTTTTGGTTTCTACACACTGTCTGTCCTAGGTAGGAACTATGTAGGTTGTTCTTAAGGTATTTGATGTTAGTCCTTACTCTATGGAGTTATTGATCTTCTATCAAAACAAGACTAGTAATTAGCCTGGGTAATTATGAGTTTTACTATTTTTTCCTCAGTAACTCTAATTATATATGTTGGATTTGCTCTCAACCAACTTTTAAAATACTTTACACTTGGACAATAATTTTGGCTTTTGTTCTCCATGATAAGAAGCTCTACGCTAATTTTTTATTTTGTCGCTGTTGTTAAGTGCCATCAAGAGAGTTCTGACTCATAGTGACCCCGTGTAGTAGGGTTTCCGAGGAGTGGCTGGTGAGGTTGAATTGCCAACCTTGCAGTGCTTATCCTACAGTGCCATACAGTAGGACTCCTATAATTAAATTAAATCAATACTTTCTGGTATTAACACTTTAATTATTTTCCTTGCTAATATTTAATCAAGAGTGTTATCCTACTTCCAGCTTGTTATTATGAAGAATTTTTTTTCTAGTAGTAGCAAGCTGAATCTGTAAGAAAGAAATACATCAACAGTCATTACTCCTTCTACAGTAATTTAGTTTGACACATTTATTGATAACCACTGTGGTACCGCAGGATAATGCACTAGACTGCAAAGTCAGTTTGAACTGCAAGGTCGGTGGTTCTAACTCACCAACCTCTTCTCGGAAACCCTATATAGGGTCTCTCTGAATCAGAAACAACTCATTGGCACTTAACAAAAAACAACAACCTAAGATAATTTATTCTGTATGTTTTATTTCTTTTGATTAATTTAAAGCCATTGTGACCAAAATTGATACATATTTGACCTCTATAGATATTGTGGAGTCCTCGTGTGGTGCTGTGTCAGACTGCAAAGTCGTTTGAACTGTAATGGTGATTCAAGCTCACCAGCTGCTCCTTGGAAACCCTATACAAGGTTGCTATGGGTCGGAATCAACTCGACGGCACTTAATAATAACAGTAGATACTGTACTTCATGGGGATTTTGTACGGATTCCTATAATAAATGCCGTCCATTATTTTAAGCTCCATCGTGGAGCTTCCCAACTATTGTGGAACAAGTAGGTTATAACAGAACCAAGGTATTAATTTCCTCTCAGTCCTCAGGATGATTGTTTTAGCCCCTTTGGCTGCAAGCATCTTTATTCATTCATCCCAGATTGCTATAAAAATATTGCCATCTTTTATAAGAATTGTTTGGCTTTCATTGCCAGGTTTGTAAATACTCATGTTTTTCAGTTACCATCGTGCTTTCAGCAGTCTCCTCAGTTTAGAAAATGCCACAGAATTGTTTAAGAGCCCCTTCATCAAACAGAAAGGCATTGATTGTAAGCCACTGTGGATCATGAATACTGAAAGTTTTTTTCTAAATAACATTAGGGTAGTGAAAGAACTGCATTTCAGCATAATCATTGTTTGAATGTACCATATTCTCTTGCACAATATAGACATTTTTGATGACAGATTTTGGTAAATAAACAAAACAAGAACCTATCCACTATGGTTACTTAATATCTCATAAAGCCACTAAAACCTCAGTGAAATAAAAATAAATTATAATGTATTTTAATATGGATACTTTATGTTTGTGAAAAACTAACCTGTGGTTTGTCTGACTTGCTGCAGAAAATCATGCAGGAGTATTAAAAGTATTTGAAATGAACATTGACAGAGACTGACTGTGTCTCTTCTTAAGTATAGTGTTGTGAATTGCCATCGAATCAGTATCAACCGTGTATAGGGTTTCCAAGGAGTGGCTGGTGGGTATGAACTTACCTTGTGGTTAGCAGCCCAGTGCTTATTCTTCAACACCACACCATGACTCCAGTATGCTTAATTGTAATCCTTATGTTTTTTAAAATTCATAAGAATCTAACAGAGAAGTAAAAGTTTAGCTTAAAACTTTTTAATTGTATCATCTTTCAAGAATATTAATAACAAAATGGGATCAAACAGAATCTATACCCCATTCTCCCAAAAAAGGTGGGGGAGGAAAATATATATGTTTGTAACTTGGGAATTTAGACATTCTGATGAACTCTATTAAATAATGACATCACTGTTTTTGTAGGAATTGAAAAAACTTATTTTTATCCCATTGCAGAACTAGAATGTGAAACAATAAAGCAGGAGAATACTCCACTGCAGAATATTGTTGATAACCAGAAGTACTCAGTTGCAGACATTGAGAGAATAAATCATGAAAGAAATGAATTGCAGCAATCCATTAATAAATTAACCAAGGACCTACAGGCTGAACAACAGCAATTGTGGAATGAGGAGCTGAAATATGCCAGAGGCAAAGAGACGGTATGTCATACCATTTTAAAAGGGGCAACTCATCAGAGCTGACCTTTATAAACTTCTATCTCAACATGAACAAAGTGGGTAAAAAAGTAGACTTTTTCAGCACAGACTAAAACGCAGTCATCCCTTTATGCTAATTCAGTGAGCGCCCTAATTTCTCTCAATCATATTTAAGGTAGCCTGTATTTTCTAACAGTAAACCAGGAAAGAAACCAACAGTTCTCTTACTGTTGTTGTTAAGTACCTTTGGCAGTAATCTGATGAGAGGTTACAAGATTAATCTAGATATTCTTACAGAGATGGAAAGTAGTGAGCAGATTCTGACTACTTAGCAGGTAAAGTAAGTCTCAGTGTAGATATTTAGGTTTTTGGCTTGGGCAGTTGAGTAAGTACCACTTATTCAGGGTGAGAAGGGAAAAGTTGCTGCAGGAATGGGGATGGCTTGTATGTAAACATGAGACAGCCAAGTGATAATATTGATCTGGACATTGGTATAAAATATTTGAATTTGCAATATAGATTAGGCAAAATCTGTACATTGTGATTGAGTTGATGAGGATATAACTCTCGGAAACACTAGTATTTGGAGGTAAGATAAGGGCGTTTAAGAGATCTAGAAGAAAACTGAGTTACTTCAACTAATAATGTGTCATACTCTCTGTGGAAAAGGCAAAGCTATGAATCCCTAGACTATGAGAAGTCTGAACTAGCTAAACTCAGCTATATTAAAAGGAATAGCATTTTGGGTTTGAAAGCAAAGAGAAACCTAGGAAATCAGTAAGCAGTGTTCTGATGAGGGGTGATAATAAAGGCAATGGACACTCTTAAAGCCTTGGAATACTAGGTACCTAGGAGTGAGATAGTAACTTTCTGGAACTGTATGTTGAGGTAGACATTAGGCTGCATTTGCACTCATCAGGAAAGAGTGATAAGTTTTCAGTGGCTGAATTGGTTGTAGGAAGGAGAAAGTAGAGATCCATATGACACTTACTTGCTTTTCCTGCTGTGAGGCACAATGAAGTGCATGAGCTTATGAAAGCTGTTTTCTTGGATCAAATTACAGTTAAAAGAAAAGAAACTGCTCTAGAAAACCCAAAACTCTGGGACCAAACAGACTTACATCCTCAAATCATCTCTAGAGAGTTACCCTCAAGAAGATGTTCACATTGACTGCAGTTATGAGCTTAAACCTAGCAGTTGTGAGGATGGAGCAGGACCCAGTACTGTGCATAGGGCACTATGGGTCCGCGCTGACTCGGCGGCACCTAACAACAGAGAGCTACTCCATTGCAGTATATTAATTGAAATGATGTCCTGAGTTATTAATTTAAAAAAGCTAAAATGCAATATATGTAGTACTATTACTCTTAAGATCTGGTACATTTTTGGAAATTGTAAATTCTTTAGGCAAATTCTGAATGTATTTTCTTGCAATTGCATTTTTTATTCCCTTTTAACTCATTTTTAGGATGGGTAGCAACAGCAAACAACTATATATTAAATGGGAGGAGCAGCATGAAAAATAAATTATATGCTAGGTCATAAAGTGCTATAAAGAAAAGTAAAACAAAAATGAGAGGGCAAAAAGAAATTTAGGAGACATCAAGGCAAGTGATCGGATCCTCAGTGCAAATTCTCTTCCAAGACTAAGACGCAAAGGAAATATACACTTTGACTGACAACCACGCACATCACCCAGAAGGTGAAGTGGCCGAAGAACATCAACGAAGGGGTGAGCTAAGCCCTACATTGATCAGCAAACTACTGTGAACCCGGATGGAGGCCTGGTCGGCCAGTAGCAAGACAACATCTGGGGACTCATGGGCTCAGGGTCAGTGACACAGCCACAGAGGTCTAGAGTGGAGAGCGGGGCAGCCAGCGAATAAAAAGAGGCCGGACAGACGTAAGAACACCCACATTTGCGGATGATGTCCATTTGACTGGAATTCAATGACTGGATAAACAGCTCAACCCTAAGAAGAAAGAAGAGGGAAAAAAGCATCATCTGATACAATTCGATCAACATGACCTACACCTATAAATGCAGTCGCTTAAAAGAGGAAACAAGTCCTTGCTGCAAGAACTATTCCCACCCCATCCACACAAAGGGTAGACAGGGATGGACAACTTGGACATTGGCTACCCAAAATGGGGGGAGGGATACAAAGGCTTACAAGCTTTCAAGAGGGAACCTAGATCCAGAGGGTGTGGAGGAAGGTAGAGTCTCCAGTGAGTGGTGTCTAGCCTGTCCAGGAAGGACTGATGAAATGAAATATAAACGGGTCTCTTTTGATGCAATGGTGAATAATTGTTATCAGAACTGATTGTGAGGGTTGGAAATCTAAAGATGGACATTTTGTAACAAAGAGGGGAATGATTAATTTATCAGTCTAGGAGCAGAGGACCCTGGGACCATCAGTGGAGAAGAGCGAAGAGCGGAATCCTACCCAGAGAGGCAGTGAGGCCTGGGATGGAGGCAGAGAAGACAACGTCAAGAGATGGTGGGGCTGGGGGCTCAGGATCAGGAGATAGAAAAGGGCTAAGGACTGTGGTTGGGGGGGTGGGGAAGCTGCAGGTTTATAGGGTACACCCCTTGGTTGGACAGGATGATAACTATGCCAACGAAATGATGGATGATGGAATGAATGTAAAGCTGATGTTCTCCCATGTAGACTATCACACAATTCACAATAAAACATTAAAAAAATAAATAAACAGTACCATCAACAACAAAAAAAAAAAGGGGCGGGGGGGGGGAACTTGTGGCAAAGGAAGAACCAGATAAGATTCAAGACCATCTAGTCATGTCTCAGGTTTCTAGATGTTGGGTTCCTCATCTATCTCTTCTAACCACACACATTGCAAATACCTATTAGAGATTCTCTTTGTAGAAAGTAAAATTTTATTATTTCCTGTCATATCTAAAAGGATTGACAGTGTTACTCTATAATGGTAATTTAATTTTCCACAAAGAAAAATCTGAATCGGCAAACTAAAAAGAAATGTACTATCTCTAGGAACAAATCTCAGCACACCATCTATGTATTATTTTAATATCATTTAAATCATTTCACATCATTTTGAAGAGCATGTGGAAATCAAATAAAAATATTTTATTTAAAAAAAAAATTAGGAACTATATTAGGGAAAAGGGAGGAGTACAGCGGCTTCGTATGATAAGCACTGGGTTGCATACCACAAGATACATGGTTCAAGCCTACCGGCTTCTCTACAGGAAAAAAAAAAAAAAAGGCTTTCTGTTCCTGCAAAGATTTAAAAGCCTCGGAAACCCTATACAGGATCGCTATGAGTTGGAACCAACTCAAAAGCACTTAACAATAACAACAGCATTTAAGGAAAAGAGAGCCTGGTGGCTCAGTAGATTAAGCATAAGGCCGTCTGCTTCTGTAACAGTTGACAGCCTTAGAAACCCTACGGAGCAGGTGTGCTCTACCCTGTAAGTCACTGTGAGTCCCAACTGAATGGACGGCAGTGAAGAAACCAAAGGGGAAAGCTTTCTGATAACACACTCAGAATTTAAACAGGTTTCAAGGAAGGAATATGATTGTAGAGCATGTTACTAAAGTATTTTAGTCAAAACAATTAACATTTTGACCCTTAAATTATTTCATTAACTTATTTTGGATACATGGAATGCTTTAATTTATACATTGACAAAACTAGGTTTGTTTTGTTTTTTAATAATTTCTTTATATATTAAAATGTAAAATTTTGAAATCTTTAGTTAATGTTGTACTAAGATAAATGGAAGAATATTACTATTTGCTTGCTAAAATCAGTCTTAAAATTATTCTATAAATTTAGTGTACACAAAACCTTTAATTTATGTTTTTAAATAGCCATACGTACTACTAAAATATACTAAATTGCTAAACTATTAAGAATATAGTGATATATTGTATGTAAAATTTCAGAAATGACAATTGAAAAGTAGATGTAATGGGACTTTTTTTTGACATTTCTTTTTGTTTGAAACTATTCTCTCCTTACAGATTGAAGCACAATTAGCAGAATATCACAAACTGGCTAGAAAATTAAAACTTATTCCTAAGGGTGCTGAGAATTCCAAAGGTTATGACTTTGAAATTAAGTTTAATCCTGAGGCTGGTGCCAACTGCCTTGTTAAATACAAGACCCAAGTTTATGTAAGTAATTATGAATACTTTAAAAGGTTTTTAAATGATATGATTGATGACTGACCATATATTTTATGTCTACAACTCAAGACTAAAGAGAAATAAAACACTGACACTTTTTTTTTATCTTTCTTCTTGGTAGTAGAAATCTGCTCCTGATTATATCCTGTATATCCTACTCTGAATTATAAAACCTTTTCTTACATGCTACCTATCCAATTAGCCAATAAAATATGTAATTACATATAGTACATTTTTTAAGATTCTCCAATAATTTTGCTAAAAATAATTCAAAAATAGTTGCAGCAGTACATTGACAGCGAGCTACCTGATAATCAAGCTGTTTTCAGAAGAGGACGTAGAATGAGAGATACCATTGTTGATGTCAGATGCATCTTGGCTGAATGCACAGAATAGCAGAAAAATTGAAATGTCCTGAGTTTTTAATAAAAGAAGCTAAAATGTAATATATGTCATATTACTTTTTAAGCAAGTTCTTCATGTATATTCTTGCCATTGCAATTTTTTTTTTTTTTAATTACTTTTAGGTGGGTAGCAGCAGCAAGGAGCTATATATTAAATGGAGGAAGCAGCATAAAAATAAATTATATGGCCGTTACCTCTTCCGCTCCTTGCGGATGCGGTGCCAACTCACTCTTCTTCCAGCCAGAATGTGGAAAGCGACCATAATCATGGCAGTATTTGAGCAGATGAGAGCGAACGTGGGCAAGTTGCTCAAGGGTATTGACAGGTACAATCCTGAGAACCTGGCCATCCTGGAGCGTTATGTGGAGACGCAGGCCAAGGAGAATGCCTATGACCTGGAAGCCAACCTTGCTGTCCTAAAGCTGTACCAGTTCAACCCAGCCTTCTTTCAGACCACAGTCACTGCCCAGATCCTGCTGAAGGCCCTCACCAACTTGCCCCACACCGACTTCACCCTATGCAAGTGTATGATCTACCAAGCACGTCAAGAAGAGCGGCCCATCTGACAGATTCTGTACCTCGGAGACCTGCTGGAGACCTGCCACTTCCAGGCCTTCTGGCAAGCCTTGGATGAAAACATGGACCTCTTGGAAGGCATTATGGGCTTTGAAGACTCTGTCCGGAAATTTATCTGCCACATTGTGGGTATCACTTACCAGCACATAGACCGTTGGCTGCTAGCTGAGATGCTCGGGGATCTGACAGACAGCCAGCTCAAGGTGTGGATGAACAAGTATGGCTGGAGCGCCAATGAGTCGGGCCAGATCTTCATTTGCAGCCAGGAAGAGAGCATTAAGCCCAAGAACATTGGAAAAGATTGACTTTGACAGTGTTTCTAGCATCATGGCCTCTTCCCAGTAACTCCGCAGGCATTTAATAAAAATCTGTTGGTTTCTTAAAAAAAATAAAAATAAATAAATTATATGCTAGGTCATAAAAGTGCTGTTTAAAAATCAAGCTAAAAATATTACTACACAAAGACATCTGACTGTGTAGATCATAGCAAACTATGGATATGATTGTGAAGAATGGGAATTCCAAAATACTTAACTGTTCTGTACATAGGAGTTTATACAAAGGTAAGAGGCAGTACTTTGAACAGAACAAGGGGATACTGTGTGTTTTAAAACCAGGATTGTATCCTTGGCCCAGGATCAGGCAGTGTTTCATTCTGCTGTGCATAATAAGGTTGCTATGAGTCAGTACCAACTCAATGGCACCTAACAACAACAACAAAATCTATATGATGAACAAATAATCTAAGAAACTGGACTATATGAAGAAAAACTCAGACTCAGGATTGGAGGAAGGCTCATTAACAGCCTGCAATATGAGATGGCACAACTTTACTTGCTGAAATCGGGAGGACTTGATTGCTGATGAAAATCAAACTGCAGCCTACAGTATAGATTACAAAGAATGAAATTAAAAATCTTCACAACATGAACAATAGACAACATCATGATAAATGGAGAAGAATTGAAGCTGTCAAGGATTTCATTTTACTTGAATCCATAATCAGTTCTCATGGAACCTGATGTCAAAAAATCAAACTGTGGATTATTGCTTCAGGAAAATTTGCTACAAAGGACCTTTATGTTAAAGAACAAATATGTCACTCTGAGGACTAAGGTGTCCATGACCCAAGCCATGGTATATTCAGTTTCCTCATATGCATGTGAAAGTTCACCAATGAATAAGTTTGAATTATTGTTTTGAAGAAAAATATTGAAAGTACAATGGACTGCCAGAAGAACAAACAAATGTTGGAGGAAGTACAGACAGAATGCTTCTTAGAAGCAAGGACAGCAAAGCTTTGTCTCACATACTTTGAACATGTTGTCAAGAGGGACCAGTCCCTGGAAAAGGACATTTTGCTTGCTAAAGTAGGGTCAGCAGAGAAAGAAAACCCTCAACAAGATGATTGACACAGTGGCTGTAACAATGTACTCAAACATGACAGCAGTTATAAGGATGGTACAGGACCTTCTGTTGTACATAGGGTAGCTGTGTGTGAGAACAGACTCAGCCGCACCTGACAGCTTAATAGACACCAAGGTTATGACAAATATGACCTGACCTTTGATCCCTAAATTGCTCCTGGTCTTCTCAGGTCTCAGGACATGAATACATACTGTGTATCTGCTTTATTTCTAACAGAATGGACTCCATAGACATGGTGATACTGGATGAAATCTTAAAAGATGACATATTTATAGAAGAAAGAGTTCCAGGCATAAGGACAGACATGAAGTCGTAAAATATAATACAGCGTTAAGTAACAGTCAATAAGGAGAAATCTGTGCCTGATTTTGAAACATGGGTAAAGTTGTAATTTGGGGGATTTTTAAATTGCTCTGTTGCAAGTCCTCAACTATTCACAGATTTTAGTATTTTCTTAAACCCCCAAAAATGCCATCTTTCACAATTACTTCATTTTTTAGTAGAGAATGTTGGTTTTAAGTCACAAATTGATGCATTTCTTGCTTGAGAATCATTCACTCAACAAATATTTATTGAGTGCCTATTATAAGCTTAAGGAGCTCTGGTAGCATAGTGGCTATGAGTTGCACTGCCAACCTCAAGGTCGGCAGTTCGAAACTACCAGCAGTTCCACAGGAAAAAGGTGAGGCGTCTGCTCCCTGTAAAGATTTACAGCCTCGGGAACCCTGTGCAGGGTCACTATGAGTCGGAACCAACTCCATGGTACTTAACAACAACAACATTATAAGCTTGGAGTCCTTGTGTGGTGCAGTGGGCTAATGTATCAGACTGCAAAGTCATTTGAACTGCAAGGTCAGTGGTTCAAGCTCACCAGCTGCTCCTTAGAAACCCTATACAGGGTCACTATGAGTTGAAACCAACTCACTGGCATACCACTATTATAAGCGTCAAGAAGTTCATGGAAAAATAGAATTGAAAGATAATTGCATTTTCCAGACCAACTAAGCACTAGAGATTAAAATATTAACCCAAAACATATAGTTCTGCTTTTACAGTAATTAGCCTTTTGGTGAAGAGACATGAATTAAATAAAACTAGACTTGATTTCCATGGTAGTATTGGTGGTACGGTAGGATATTGCTAACCGTAAGGTCAGTCATTCAAACCTACCAGCCGTTCCCAGGGCAGATAATGATACCTGCTCCTATAGAGAGTTAAACAGCCTCAGAAGCACTATAAAGGGTCGCTATGAAACCAAATCAACGTAACACCTAAAAACTAAACAACGCATGCTAAGGCTAACTAAGAGATTCTAAACCTAAAACGAACACTAATCAAAACACTGAAACTTAGCCCTAGTCCTAATATTCTCCCTAAACTTCAAATACTACACCCTGATTCTAAAGGGAGAAAACAAGGCCGATTACATTCTACAGTTCCAGAAATTACACTAAAAGTACAGTCAGGTTTTCTTTTGTGATGACGTATTTGTTTATATTTAAAATATCATGGTTTCACTTTTTTTCTCAAATGTATTAAACAAGTGTCTTCTCCCATCACAATATGTAGATGCTTCAAGAGAGTAATTTTACAAATATATAACCAATATTCCTATTATTTTATAGGTACCACTCAAGGAACTCCTGAACCAAACTGAAGAAGAAATAAATAAAGTTCTAAATAAAAAAATGGGTTTAGAGGACACCTTAGAACAAGTAAGTAATAAAACAAGGTCCTTAAAAGTAAAAATAAGAATTCTAAAACATAATAATTAAATGTGATGTGTGGTTTCTGGTTACTAAGGAATGGATTGTAGATAAATTATGAAAATGGGAGTTGACTATAAACTTGACTTAAAAACATTAGAAGTAGTAGTAGAGTAAATAACTTAAGCATCCTAGACTTCACATTTCTTTTATCAAGTGATAGAAAACTGAGTAATCGTCCCTTTTTTTTTTTCTAACTAGAAAAAGTTCTCCTATTGGTGGTGATTATGTGCCGTGGAGTCAGTTCCAACTCATAGTGAACCTGTTTGGGTTTCCGAGGCTGTAAATCTTACAGGAGCAGAAAGCCTCATCTTTCTCCCACAGAACAGCTGGTATTTTTGAACTGCTGACCTTGAGGTTCACAGCCCGATTCGTAACCACTATGGTACCAGAACTCCTATTATTGTTGTTGTTGTTAAGTACAGTGGAGTCGGTTCCAACTCAGACACCCTGCACAGGGCTTCCAAGGCTGTAAATCTTTACAGGAGCAGAAAGTCTCATCTTTCTCCCGTGAAATGGCTAGTAGTTTTGAACTGCTGACCTTGAAGTTAGCAGCCCAATTCGTAACCACTACGCTACCAGAGAGCTCCTATTACTTAAGATAATTTAATGATATTCAGTTATATTATAATGCATTTGATATGTTGTTTGTTGTTAAGTGCTGTCGAGTCAGTTCTGACTCATAGCAACCCTGTATATGGTTTCTGAGGAGTGGTTGGTGAACTTGAACCACCAACCTTGTGGTTCAAACTAAACTTATGGTCAAGCACTTATTTTATAGCGCCACACCAGGACTCTAAGCACTAGTTGTTGTTAAGTGCCATCGAGTCGGTTCCAACCCATAGCGACTCTGTATAGGGTTTCCGAGGAGCAGCTGGTGAGCTTGAACTGCCAACCTTGCAGTTCAAACATCTTTGTAGTCTGGCGCATTAACCCACAGAGCCACACCAGGATTCCAAGCACTAGTAGATACTATGTAAATATATATATTGTTGTTGTTGCTGTTAAGTGCCATCAAGTTGGTTCTGACCCATAGCGACCCTGTATAGGGTTTCCAAGGAGCAGCTGGTGAGCTTGAACTGCCAACCTTGCTGTTCAGACCAACTTTGTAGTCCAGAGCATTAACCCACAGCACTGTACCAAGACTGTCTCTATATGTTACAGTATGCTATTACATATATTTAAATTAGCATTTTAAGTATAAATTCTTTTGATCTCTAGTTTTAAAGTCTAATGCTATCAAATTTTGCTGGGGACCAGCCTCGACCATTTGTGAGAGCTCGGAGGTGGGTACGGAGTCCGTGAAAAACACACACAGACAGAGTCGATGGGTTGTGAGTTTTAGGCAGATGATGATGACCTCTTTACTCAAGTTTTTTGCCTCTTATATACTATTAGGATTTCTCTATAGTCACGTACAATCAATTGCAATTTAACTGAGTATTACATTCTTTGTGTTCAACAAACATTCAGGTTACAACAAAAAGGAAACATCAGAACACTCCCTTGATTCTTATTGTATCCTGTTCCTTTGCATCCCCTAATTATCCTGATAACATCGGGTTTATTTCTGTAACTTTTCGTTATTCTCTAATCCTCCCAAGAATGTCAAATCAACTTTCAAGCTAAGTTCTATATTTTAACTTGCATTTTTACTCTCATCTACCACTTCTTATAGCTTCATTAATCACAATCCGTAATCACAACAGTATTTTTATAGAAGTACCTAAGGTTTCATAGTCAAAAACAAAGCAGCAATTCCCCTATACTAATAATTTCCTAAAACCTTTAGTTAAATTTCTACCCACCTTCCTAGTGTTCCTACAGCTCTTGATTGGCTCTTTGCTATCTTTTGGGTGCCTCAGTGTCTCTAGGACTGAGCAGGATGTTGATTGTAAGATTGTTTCTTTCAGGTGTCTCAGTGTCTACTAAGCAGGATGTAATCTTAAACTTGAAAAGCTTTTAGCTGATGTGGCTTTTCCTAATGGTGAGACTTATTGTTGATGTAAAAAGCATTATAACTTTACATGATTAAATTTAGTGTGAGAGTGTCTAAATATAATTTTAATTTTTACTATGATTATTGAAAAATTCTACTAAAAACTTCTATAATAAAATCAAGAAAAATGAAAAATAAACTATTCATAAAAGGAAAAAAACAGAAACTGCAAGGCCCTTGCATTAGGTTCCCCTTGGGGCTTTGCCAACCAAGGAGACACTCATTGTCGCTTTGCTAAACAATGAGTTTTTCATGCTTAGGGTCTCTCCAGTTCTGTTCTCCAGCCTTGATGGCATGGCTTCTGACAAAATTTCGCCTACTTCAGCTAATTTCCTAACTTTCTATTTAGGCACTCACCTTCTGGGATGTTAAAGAACTATTTATATCAATTTTATTAAATGATTACTAATTGCTTATAGTCTTGCATTTTTCCAAAGAATCGTAACTACATTTAACCTTGTTAATGCTTGAATTTTAAGATGCGTTGAAAACTAAAGGGTTATTTAAAGTTAATTTGTTGCTATCAAATGCTATCAAATACCAATTGATGCTAATAGTTAATACAGATTGTTCTTCAGCTAGACCAAGAAGAAACAGAAAACAGCAGTGTGTAAATAGCTCAGATTTTTTAACAAAGGAGAATTTTACACATACATGGAATTAAAAAATGCATATGTACTTTGGGGAAATTTTAATAAAGCTGTTGTTATTTGGGAAAAGGTAGGGTGGATGGTCAAATAACTACGTCCATTAAAGAAATTTGTAGCTTCTCATTTAATCATGAAAAAGCCCTTGAAAAGAAAATTCTTGTTTTACAAATGAGTAGAGAGGGGCTGGAAAGAATGCTATTTGCTCACGGTCACACAACTAATATATGTCCAGTGCTAAATGTTAGATACACCAATTTCCCAAGCCTTTTCTATAATACCTCTGGCCTTTCAAATTAATTTAAAGACTAGAAGCAATGAAGTTGTATCCTTCTTGCTGTTCTTTCTGTTCTCATGCATACAATTCAGTGATACTAATTACAGTCCTCATTTTGTGCAACCATTACCACCATCCTTTTCTGAACTATGTATTATTTTATATCTTATAGTGTGTTGTCCAGAACATAATAGTTTTGAAAAGATGAATAACTAGTGTTTTCCTTTCATTGTTTTGTGTTATATAAATAAGCTTTTCATACATTAGAAAAGTTGCTTTTTAACTTAATTGGCTATAACATTGCTTACTCTAAAGATTATTGAATATAATAGTGCTCTCTGAGGTATATTGTAATTATCGTGGTTTCAAGCATCTCTACGCATGAACTTTTTGAAACTTGCTTTTGGAGATAAGCTTTTTTTTTTATGTTTTATTGTGAATTATGTGACAGTTTACATGGGAGAACATTAGTTTTACATTCATCCTATCATATCTCGTTTCATTGCCATGGTTACAATTCCCTCCATGCATCATCAACCAACCAAAGGGTATACCCTACAAGCCTGTCCCCC